AACGGCAAATGCAATGCAATTTTGTTTTTAATGCAATCCTTGAAAATGCACCTCTGTGTCTCGTCCAACCTTATTTTCAATTTTCGTTTTTCCGTTTTCAAGGGTATTTTGGTGCCTTTTTTTTGGTTTTATGCTAATACAAACTTACATATTCATGAGCAAAAGTGTGATGTCAATAATTCCGGCTGAAACATCAATGCTACAGCTATTTCAGCACCAAAAGTTGCCAGAAGTTGGCTATTTTGCTGTCATATATTTTCTTTTCTTAGGTGATTCGTTGTTGTGTCAGTACATGGCAGTAAAAGCCAATGGGTAAACTTTTCTCACAAATGAATGTTTCCAATCTGGAGATTTTGGGGTTCACAATTTGAACACATAACCCCTAAACTGAACAGTGCCTTTCCGAAATGACATCACAGAGACAGCGCCCTCTATTGTCCGCAAAAGCATGGAATTAAAAAAAATAATGTTTAAAGAGGCGCACTTTTGAATAAAATTTACCAAAAAGGGATGCCAAATATAGTTTTCATACATTTAAGAGGAGTAGAAAGATGCACAAAACATGTTCCTAAAAAGAAATTCATGTCGTGGCCCCTTTAAACTTCAATAGGTTAGTTGTTATGCAACTTACTTAAGACCTTGAGCAATATTGTTGACCCAAACGAAATAAAAATGCACAAAGAACTAAATGATTTGATTTTACTATTTAAGCACACCACATCTCCAAATTATAAAAAAAAGGAATTTATGCCGAAGTATAGGTATAGGCGGAGGCGCTTTTTAAAAACAAACTTGCAACCTGTCGGTGGGCGGGATACCGTATCTAGTGTTTATGGAAAACAAAATTTAGTTTACAGATTTCTGTTTTATGAACAATTGTCAGATAAAAAAAAGCGGCGCGGCGTTTGCACTTGATGCAGAATGCGCGACTTTCGTTTCAGCCTCATGAATTTCTGAGAGCCGTACGACCATACGGCATCGAATTTCTCGAAAAATAACGGAGCGTCAAGTATTTCTTCAAGAAACCGTGTTTTAAGAATACTCTCAAAAGTCAAGTGTCACAACGGCTACATTTCGAGTGTCGAGGTTTCGAGTTGGTGTACTTGAAAATGCAACACGCGGTGTACAGCAAAATCTGGTTACTGGATATTCTAACACGTACCTGTAGCGTCAGGAAACTTTATTCCAGAAAGGTAGCAGATTTTCCTTGGAAATTTGATACCGTTCGTTCCCCCCTACCCCGAGATACTTGTAGTAAAACAGCATATAGTTGATACTGACATTGTTAAAACAACAAACTATATGCAAACGATATTGTGGAACGGGGTGAATAATGTTGACCCAAATGCGAATCAGGCAAACACGGTTCTTTGACAATTTGTGTTTCTTCTTAGGAAAACAAATTGGAGAACTTGAGAGTCCTGTTCAAATAAATGAGGGTTTGGATACAAAACACAATTTACTAGCAACGTATTTTCATGACGCCTAAGGCCTGCACTACAAACAAAATTCCCGTGGCACGTCAACAGAATTTCGGGAATTTTATTTTGATATTATTTGTTTTTGTTATGGGTGCGCCTTCGTAGCCACACGGAAAATAAGCAACTCCGACATCTTTGATACAACAGAAAACCTCTCGTGAGGGTAAGATGATCCATAAAGTGTGCATCATAAATCAACCAAGTGCGTGTACTTAATCCCCACGTTGATTTGTACCACAATGACTCCCCCGTTCTTGATACACTCAAATCACAAAATTAATTCCGCATTTTAATTTGTTCATGGATGTCCATCTTTACCCTGGGGACGAGGTATCTGTGTAATCTATCAAAAACAGATATTTTTATCTTGCCAGAGCTCTCGTCGGTAGATCCCTGGTGTTTAATTTCATTTTCTTTTTTAATCTCTATTGGTCCGCCACACGATATACAAACGGATGCAGCAGGATTGTTTTAATTCGCAAGGGCGGCTGAGCCGAACTTTGCGCGTACACACGCCCTCGGGCCAGAATCCAACATGGCGTCCCCCGGGCACTTTTGGTGGCACGACTCTTGTATCACGGTTTGCGGTATTTGCCAGCCAAACAACGCTGACCAATTTCAATCGTTGCTGATGGTGTTTTTCTTTGTTGAACCAAATCAAGTATAAGTAAACATATTTGTTGATTATTAGCCAGGGCTGACAAAAATAGATTACTATTCTGGTTAGCTAGTTTTTCGATCCATTTATTAACAAAAAGTTGATGACACTCCGATCGTCCACTATACTTTTGTTTATTATTTAATTTTTTAAAATAGTAAAGTGGGATTTGGTTGATTTTGACTCATCGATTAACTTTACTGATAGATTAATAATTAGCTATAATAATTGATTGTCTAGTTATTGATTTTGAGTCGTTGACTGACTGGTTGATTGATTGACTAATCCATCGATGATCGATCGTCTAACTGATTGGTAATTGAGTCATCGATGGATTGGTTGATTGATTGACTAATCCATCGATGATCGATCGATTAACTGACTGACTATGTCATTGATTGTCTAACTGATTGAGTCATCGACGGATTGGTTGATTGATCGATTGATTGATTGATTGATTGTCTGGCTGAGCTAAGGATTATTGATTGCTGTATTGTTCGATTGATCTATAGCTCAATCGATTAACTGGATACTGATCGATTGATGGATTGATTGCCAGACGTACTGATTGATACATCTGAGAATGATTGATTTATCAATGAAGGTCAAGGATATACCGCTTCGGCGACTGGAACAACAACAGTGATTATTGTTCATTGACAAAATATTGATTTACAAACGCTAAGTCGACAAATTTATCTGAAGTCCTGCGATTTGCAGACGATCATCGACGCAATCGCTGATTGGCTGTTTGCCTTTTGGCAAAAAAAATAAATCTGTAAATGAACAAAAACGGTTTACGAGAAGGCCGAAGTCCTGTTATTTGTGATGACAATTCTTTGGCCAGTCATTTTGGAACACAAGCAAAATTGCTAATTTCGGTTTTGGAACAACCGAGCCAGATAAGAATCCACCCATAGGGATTTACCTTCAAAAGGCACTCGACAATGACTCAGATCACAAGATTTCCTCAGAGCAAAGTCAACCAAAAAATTGCTTTTACCCAAAGAGGTTGATATAAAACCGTTTTTTAATTAGCAAATTTAGGCCGAGTAAGCCTAAATCTGCCAGGATCGAAACGCACCTGCCAAATTCTCGGTGGAATATTTTTGTTTTCAATTAAATTAAACAAAAATATGCGTGGGTGTGTACGTATGGATGTGCAGCGGCAGAATTACGATGGGAATTTAAACAATAAATCGCTGTATTGGTAATTTTCTTCATCGAAAACAAGAAAACGTGGTGAGGTTTTTTTTTGGTGTGATAGAAAATGTCAACGACGGTGAATTTCGCGGAGACCGGACACGGGGAATCGCGATGAAAAGGTCGGCCGCCTGGGATTGAGATTTTCCCGCCGAGACCTTTGGTCTTGCAAATATCAAGTAGACCTCTACGAGACAAGAGGTTTTATCCATGAAAACATTTTTATTGAGATTTTTTTTCTGAACTGTTTGTTGGCAAAGTATTTTTTTTTGCAGGTACGTGTTCATTTCTGAAAATGTCAAGCTGACCACGGACCTTTTTTGTGGGGGGGGGGGCATTTCTCACTAAACTAATGAAAAGGAAGGATGTGGTCGATTTTAAGAATCGTCAGAATCCTTTATTTCTACCTTTTCAATAATTGTGTATGGTTATTTATATCTATATATCAGAAGCGGGAAGTGTGTTTTTTTTCTGAGAAAAGCGTGAACATAAGTTATTTCAAAGGTTACACATTTTGTTCAATTTTTAACTTTCAACCGAAAAGTACATCTCGGCGCAGGATGGATTCTTTCTGAGAAAAAAAAAATCTAGTTGTTTTATCTTTATTTTTTTCGTGCATGCGGCCTATGAAAACTTCCCCAAAACGGAAACAAGTTGATGTACAGTGAGCCTACATATATCTAAAAGGGGGACACTGTTTTCCATAGCTGACGAAATAGTATAACTATTAACTATTAGACCCATATCTTCTATACTGTTGGTTAATTTGAGTAACATTATGCCAACTTTGTGAAAGAGTTAATGTAATGTGACCAGCTGGTCCGACGTCGTCCATTCGACTAGGTTCAACCAGCTAACCAGCGTTCAATCAGAGTTGATCGAATTACTGATCGCATTTGCTCATGGTTAACTGGCGTGGCAAGTTAACCACAAGTCAAGTCGGATACTCTAAAAATAGCGGGTATATTTTATGCACGATTCGGTGTCCGGGTCATATTGGACAATTTCACGGTCAGGATAACACTTTTCCGGGTAAAAAAAGGTGAATTCTCTCGATCTGTTTCCGGATCATTTTGTTTAAACTTGCAAAAGTGTCATGTTGACCCAGATAGGTGTAATTTCGACTCTGAAAATTATCAGGTCGAATATGGCCAACCTCGAAGGGCTAGTCCCGAACGGCAGACTACAGGTAGACCAAACACAGGTATGGTCGACTATTATGACTGTAGCGTGCGCGTGGGTTGGAAGTTTGAACTATATAGTCAACTATACTTCTCACTCGAACTTGTTCTATGATAAAAGGACATGTTTAATTATTTATTTATTTATTTATTTATTACATTTCTTTACCCAGGGTGTACCCAAACAGTTTAAAACTGGTTTCCATTGGGGCCCTGCATACACTACTAATGATTACTCACATGTACAAATACAATGCATTACAAATACAATACACACAATGAAGTAAAATAAAAGCATACGAGATTACTGCATAATCGTAAAGCAACTATTATAAATATTGTACAACATTACCAAGAAACATATACAGTTTGAAACGATATTCCTAACGTGATTGTTTCGAATTGTTTCGATTCATCGGTTATAACGCTGATTTGATATTGATTACTGAACACATCGATATTGGTGATTGATTACAGAGGAATCGTCCCAGTTACCAAGGTAGTGACAATGCGGCCTCACGTGCTGTTATTCACGTGTCTTGCCGTGCCGTGCCTTCTACTCGCTCAGATGGTCAGCTCGGTCCCCATTTTTGACGGCGACAACCAACTTCGGGTAAGCACAATTTTTCTTTTCTAAATAAATTCTGCTGCCAATATTTCCTTCTGCTATAGACCAATGCGAGCACGCCATCAGTGTACGCGCACGGAGCCCCTTCAATGGAGAAAACATTGTACCAGCTATTGTTCAGATAATTCGTCGGGGCCGCCTCCGTTAGCGTGTGCGGAATGGTCCATAGTGTGCCCAAGAAATAACCACGGAAAACTGCGAAATATTCGGCAACTTTTTAAAGGCTGCGCAATAAGCCATTTGCGAGTGACCTATACCCTTTGGGATTTGAAATTTGAAGAAAAAAAAACATCTGGTACACTGACTTGCTCAGAATGGTTGGCACATTTTATCTTTGAATTCTCCAGACCAAAGACACTGTTGTTAATCACATGATTCGGGGCAAGCTCTTGCATAGTTACGTAAGAGACGCTCAGCACCAATACATTGTTCACAATGGGTGGGAATGGCACAAAGACACACCATGCTGGAGCTGGGGGTTGCTAGCATCAGGCTTGCCCCTTATCACGTGATATAGTAACAGTCTCTTTGGTCGGGAGAATGCAAAGTTAAAACGTGCAAAGCATTGGATTAAGTCAGCATTTCCAGATTTTATTCAAATTGAACTCGCAAATGGCTTATAGACCTTTCTGCGCTTGGTTGGCAAACTGCATTTTTGCCAACCACGGCCTGCAAAAGTATGGAAGGTGCAACACTGCAAAAATGAAGAAGAGTTATTACAGATCACCAAAATATTATTTGATACTTGAAAATACAACATTTCAACAAAGCAACAAAATAATTCCTATATATGCCTTTTTACTATGTATGGATGGCGTTATGAGGACTTTTTTGGAAAAATATGTTGCCAACCACGGCTTCAATTTATGCGCTTACGGCAGCCCATACAAAATGGCGCCAATGTTTACAAACAAAAGAAAAGCCTATTCTTCGGTGATTGCGTCGTTTCAAATACTCCCCATTAAAATTACAGGTCATGTGTGAGGGTCAGAGTCCACATAAGGTACAAGACACTTTGGGTGCATTCGAGCGTGTTACTATACTCTTGATACCCACGGGTGCAGGAAAATGTTGCGTGCGCATTACTCCCCGGCGCTCGAGTACACTCTCGGTCTGAGCGGGAGTACACTCTCGCCTACCCGGACCCGCGGGTCGTACTCCTGCCGTTCGTGTGCTCAAGAGTATACTCGTGTTAGCACGGGTAACACGCTCGAACGCACCCCAGATGTCATGGGAGTCCACATTTCATATGACACCCGTACATTCACGATTCCAGTGATGATGTAAGCTTCGGTTCAAGGCATGCTTGCCTCGTCTGATATCCGTGACCATTTACCACAGATGGTTTCGGGAAGGGCTTGTTTTCCTGACGTATGTATGTGACCTCTCGATTCATTGTTCCAATAAAAGTATAAACAAAATTCTCATTAAAACTGACCCCAATTAAACTACATGAAGTGAATCGGATATACTACTGAGTAGTTTCCCGAAAAAAATTAAGTCACATGATGTCAAGTCATTATTGTCAAGACATTTTACTTGCACACACACCCACGCACCCACACACAAATTGCCGGTTTTCTGTTAAAGGTGGGCGCGTACATCCAAGATTTTTTTTGTCCATTGGCTTATCTAGCTCCCAGACCTATGTTCTTGAAACTCAATGGTTCTTGAGTCTGGAGTGCTGAATGGTAATACATATTAAGCAACCGATGAAAACTGACGTCCTATACAACCAAAACGTGCATCAATTTGTCTACAAGTACAGTGGAGATGGTTGGTACGCTTACGTTCACAATGCCCGTTTTTTTGGTTTAATAAAGTGAACTCCTTTTTTTCATTATATAAGAGTTTTTTAGCCAACACATGGAATATTCCACAATAATCTGCCTGTGATTAGTGGCAGAATATAATTGGATCATTTTTTTTAATTATAGGATCAGGAGCGTCTTCTCCTAATCCAAACAGTGTACATGTGCATGTACTTCTATGGTTCACGATGCGCTGGGTGTTTTTTTTTCATGTTGCGCTGACGAACGTCTATACTAACCACGCCCCTTATTTGCATAAAACTTTTTCTCCCCGCCCAGGCACTGGACATAGGAGACTGGCCAGTTGATGCTTATGGTGACACGCAATATTTGCACGGCGCCGAGAAGAGGGTCAGACCCAGAGGAGGGGAGTACTGCGTGGACTGGATTCACAACACCTGGAGACGGTGCAAGGTAACTGAATATTCATAAAGTAGTTGATGTCGTCATGAATAATGCACAACGGTATTTGCATATTATAAACAATTTATTACGAAGCGATTAGGGGTTATGTTTTCCCGTTTACCACTTTAACTTCCAAGGTAACTGAATATTCATAAAGTAGTTGATGTCCCATGAATAATGCATAACGGTATTTGCATAATATAAACAATTTATTACGAAGCGATTAGGGCTTATGTTTTCCCGTTTACCACTATATCTTGCAAGTCTAAAATTGTGAGGCTTATTTACTCATAAGTGATGACTATTTGATAGAGTAATTTGCATAAATCTGAATAATTTGCAGAATTGTACAATACAATTTCACGATACCAATGACATGTTTCACTTAATTTCAGGGCAGGAAAGGCTAAGGAAGACCGGCTAGATGATTATAAGACGGGTAAGGACAAAATATCTTAAAGCAATTTAAAAATGAAGATAATTTAAATGTAGGCCGGTTTATTGTTGCCTTGTACATTTTTGGGGAGGGGCAAAACACGAGAAGACATTTGAATGGCTGCTTCGCTCATTTCCCCCTGCCTGTCAATCAAACAGTGTGCACTGACCAATAAGACGTGTTTTTGTCAGGTGACCACGGGGCGTCAAGCTCCGCCCCAAGCACTGTGAGCGATGTATAAAAATCAAAAGAGGGCGGGACTTACGTCCAAATCCTAGATCACGGTACGCTAAAAATATACCAAACTTAAATTACCTTGGTAAGCTAACTTATTAAATTTAGATATACTTTCTTTTATTTTCTTGTTCTGTAGATTTCATCGACAATTTTGAGGCCTTGCGATAGTCATCATACCAACAGCTCGTCATGGAAAATGTTTCGATTGTGATATTTAATAACTCGTTCTTTTAAATTTGTTGGGGGAAATATATTTTTTGTTTTGGTTGTTTATTCTTCGTCCGGATCAAATATTACCTAAACCAGATCTTGAAACATGATTTCCGAAATGGAAAGTAACAATGAACTGCTCAGCTGGTATACGTGACATTTCGGTTCCTGAATTTTGATTGAAAAAAAAAAACAACAACAACAGACCAGTCGTTCTTCAAAATGTTAAGGTCAACGATGCTAAAGCTAAATAGGTCATCGAAGGCGAGTATTGTTTTGGTACATGCCTGTCACGACATAACACTACTAACGGCAGCTGAATATACACAGAAAAACAGGAAACCGGTAGATTTGCCTGATTTACCGTCCATTCATCTAATTCCCCTTTTTGCGTAACAAAAACAAAATGCGCCTTCTGCTTCCACAAGCGGAGGTGTGACCACGGCTTGCCAGCTGCAAAACAGTTGGAATCGAAGACTTTCCCCGTGTTTTTTTTTTTTTGATTTGGAGTATTTTATGTGATATTTAAAAACATTTTGAATCCAAGACTTTTTCCGGTTGTTTTTGTTTGATTTTGAGTGTTTTATGTAACAGTTAAAGGGAAGGTAGTGTTAACGAATTTAAGGCAGGCATTTGATGTCATTATCAAAAAAATTTAATACACAGAATACACAACATGGTTTAAAGAATTGTTTGAAAGGGTTAATTTTTGGGGGGAATTTAAGCATTTTTCCCTCTCAATTTTGTGTCTTGCGGGATGACCCGTGTCGGCCGTAAAAACAAGGCGCCTAGAAATGGCGCAAATTTGTCCTAGGATTATGTTTATTTAATAGAGCTTGTGTGATCAGTTTTTTTGATTGGAAAATTATCTTTCTAATTCTGTTAATGGTTGGGATTTTCTTTTGAGGGGAGGGGATTGCATTGAAGCTGGAAATTGGCGGTTAAGGGATGTTGCCTTGGGGTAACGTTTTATTTGTTTTGCCGGTTGGATCATTATTAAACTTGCATTTGAACTGTATAAACCATTTGTTCCTAAATGTCAATTATTACTGTTGGTAAACGACTTTTGTTTGGTATTGCTGGATAAAACACACCTCCCTCAAAGAAAAAAAATAAAGAAATGGAAAACAGAAAGATATTAAATTTTAAAAAAAGCAGTGAAGAAAAAGGACAGACGGTTTAATTATTTATGTACACATTTTATTTTCGAGAAAAGCTTTACGCATTAGAAAATTTGCAACAAAAAGCAAACTGCTTATTTTCGGACATTTCTACGTTATACGGGGTTTCCAGTGAGTCATGAATGAAAAAATTTGGCCCACTGTGGAATCCGGACCGTTCTTCTGCTTATTCTAACATGTAATGTACATGTACATGGTGACCCCAAACAGTTGTCACTGTATATAATCACAGCAAAAATGTGATGAAAATCCATTCATGTAAACCAGAGATACAACAGATTATAGATGGCAATAATGTGATTTACACAGTGAATGAAAAAAAAAAACCCATTGCAGAGTGCCGGTTGAGTGATTTCCACTGCAATGTGTAATTCCTATTACAAGTAAATAACGATTCCTGTAATTACTCTTGGAAAAGCAAATTTAAATTCAACCGTTACGGATGTGATTTTTTTTTTTTTATGCCAATCTATACAATATTGCAGGGTCTTCATTTTTGGTATAAAGTGCAAACTCACGTGACCCTTCCTTCCGGTCGAAACCTCTGTCATTCTAGATTGTCAGTGTTTTAGCAAACTTTTGTTAAATTTCTTGACATCAACACAATGCGCGCTAGCCCAACACAGTGTGTTTGTACCACAAACTCTAGTTCTCATTGGAATGGTTGAAAAACACATATATCCTTTTCTAATCTGTTACAGCTCTGGTCTGCGTGAATGGGTTTCCATGACATTTTCACTGATGATTATACACAGGAGTATAATTAAAATGCTCCATGAAAATGAAATACTCATGTTAGGTACTTTCTGAGAAATTTAACGGCGTCTGTGCTTGCACAACTTTTTGGGGGGTCACCCTGTTTATCGAAAATTTTCATGGAAGACAAAAGGTGTTTTTTTGTTCAGATGATAAACATGCTTTAAATAATTTTCTGTACAGGAGAAATGGAATATTTTATCAGAAAAGCATATACATATCGGGCCCTTGTTTTGTTAAAATTTCAAAATGTCCAGTACAACTTAACACCCTTAATAACCGGCAGTTTAAGTTTAAATCCACAAGAAAAACGGAAGTGATTTTTACAAGCGTATCTCTAGTTGCTATTCAAACGCAGCTACACACTGATATACATGTATCGGCTTAGATTTTGAAAAAAGAAAGGGGCAATTTTTAATGACTTTTTCTGGATCGGGTGTTTGCTGAAGCGAAAAGATCGAAGCTTTTGGGGTCGGATTACTGTTTATGGAAAGGTTCAGTCCACTTTCCTTCATGTAATTGAGGAGCGATGTTGCCACAATCGGATCAAAGCTGACTGGAGTCTGTCAAAGCAGGTATCGTTGTGGTGTTTAAATGTTCGATCATCTTGAAAGGAGATTCCTCGGTTGATTTCATGCCGACGAAGAAATACTTTATGTTCTATTCTGGTGTTCGTTATTCCGTGCGCCTTGGAGGATTTTTTTTTCAGTCAAGAATTGAAGATTAGTTTCCGGATTATAAACTTGATGAATTCATGGAATAAAAATAACGAACAAAATCCCTGCTCTCAAAAACACATCTTGATTACGCGCACAAAATGTTCTTGTGTTTTAATATTTTTATTGAAATAAAATCCTCTCCTTATAAGACTTCAACTAATCTTAATCATCGCAAAAATCATTAAAAATGTCCTTCCCTGGAGAAACCAAAACATAATCCCCAAAATCTCACGTTCGTTTGATAATTAAAAACCAATCGGGAGGTATTTTTTTCCGTGCGTGTACGTGCGTGTTATAGGTCACCGATTTAATAGCTACAACCATTATAGCTCCGCCTATGGCGTTTTGACCAATCAAAGGCCGTGATCAACGTCCGACGTGCGTGAGTAGGGGAGAAGGGCGGATACCAGACTTTGCCATAGGTCTGGGGGTAGTACAGGACCAATGGGGAGAGGGGCAGGTACCAGACTTTATCCCCCCCCCCTTTCCCCCACCCTCTGGCCACGCCCCCACCCCACCCGCCCCTCCCGATATCTCAGCCCCAATGTCTCAGTCTCGGAATAAGGCCAGGCCCTTCATATTTACAGTCGCCCCCTTGGAGATCACAACACAGACTCACAGCGGCTGGTGCGCGAGTCTATATTTGCCTTGACTCTTAAGTGACCTCAGTTTTCCCTCGTGTTTTAAAGTCAGGCTGTCATAACAATGCAGGTCGCGCTGTTATGACAAATTCTATAGAGCCTCAGTCAACACATTCAAGGTCGGGCTGTTTATAGACCTACGTCAGGAGATTGGGTAAACATTCTTGATTGCACAACCTGACATAAGCCCTGCAACGAGCCAATTAGCATATTGTACAAAAAACGAAAATGAAATTCCACTTATAATCAGGATGACTCAGTTCTACTTGTCATAATCTACAACTGGGTATTAAAAAACGAAAATGAAATTCCACATATAATCAGGATGACTCAGTTCTAAAACTGGGTATTACTTGTCATAATCTACAACTGGGTATTACAAAATAACACGTGATCAGTCAATCACTGCCAAAAATAGAAATATATTTCTAAAGGAAGAATTTAGCATAAAAGTAGTGTTTTGTGATAGTTGCACCATAGATAGAGCTTGAGCCATCGCATGCACATCGCATCAAAGCTGTCTCTGATACTGCATTTTGTTGGTTAGTTTTGACGGAAGTCTATTAAACACTTTAAAAAGATTGGTTTCTGCAAAGTACATCTGTAGCCTTACAACCCGCAGTTCGAACAGGAAGATCCATCTTTTGCTTTCAAAGGTAAGGCTTTAGTAATTCATCTATATTAATGTTGTAGTAAGGTTTAAAAACTCACCAGAACGTCTGTATACAAAACAGCCAAAACTGGGCTGAAACCATGAATATATTGGGCAACTGATCACACCGTGAATGCAGGTGATCACGATCATCCATACACTATTGCGTTTGACAAAATTTATACACAATTGGAGTGCTAGCACAATGGTTGACCTTCCTTTGAACTAACACTTTTATACGGTGCGTTAAAGGTGTAGTCTAAAACTTAAAGGGGACGCTTTAGAGTTGAGTATAAATGCTTAATTTGTTTTTGTTTTGTTTGTTTGGTTTTTTTTAGACGATGGCTTACCCAACGCACACAGTTGACATGACGTACAGCCAAGAAGCATTAATCTTAGCAAATAGTATGGTCAACGATACTAGAAAGTGGATTGCAGAAAAGATCGGCAGCATGATGGAACAGTGGGGGATTGCGAAACGCCACTTGGAGGAACACCGCCACGACATGGCATTAGAAGTTTTGTCTGTAACGCCAGACTTCAATCAGCCACCACCTCTACCAATTCTAACAAGCAATGAAATGGAACCGGAAGAAGAAGATCAACAGCCTGAAAGAGTAAAGAAAACCGTTGACCCCCTAGATATTTATAACGAAATTGTAGCTAAATATAATGATAAAGACGATCGAGTAAATGATAGTGTTATCCCCTGCGTGGTGGACCATGAACGGTATAGTTTACGCGATTTAGAAAATCGCGTAAAACACTGTAATGCAGTTTGTAAACGAGGGGAAAACTGTGCTTTATACAACGCGGCAAACTTCGGTAATTGGCTGGAAGTTTCTTTTAAAACATTCAAAAGGGATAAGAAAAGGGGGAAGGTAAATTCAGCAACTTTTAACACTTGGTTGAAAAACAATTGTAAGATAAAAAAAACTTGGGCAAAAACACACAGAGACTTCTACGACCTCGTCAAGAAGTACCCGCAATTACTGCACTGTTGCCTACCCTTAACGTTCTTCAGAAAAAATAAAAAGCATATTGTAAACTATTTTACAAGTAATTTAGAAGTAGGATTAAAATGGACACATGCTGTGTTTTGCAACTGTGGCCAGTGTGGACCTTGAGTAAAAACCTGTTGATATATGACAAACCAAACAGCTATTTAAATGAGCTAATTTGAATGACAACGAAAAAGCCACTCAGAGTGGCTTTTTACTGTATATATTAAGATGTATGAAAAGCTATTTAAATGAGCTACTTTGAATAACAACGAAAAAGCCACTCGGAGTGGCTTTTTACTGTATATATTAAGATGTTAGAAAAGCTATTTAAATGAGCTAATTTGAATGACAACGAAAAAGCCACTCGGAGTGGCTTTTTACTGTATATATTAAGATGTAATAAAAGTTATTTAAATGAGCTAATTTGAATGACAACAAAAAAGCCACTCGGAGTGGCTTTTTACTGTATATATTAAGATGTAATAAAAGTTATTTAAATGAGCTAATTTGAATGACAACGAAAAAGCCACTCGGAGTGGCTTTTTACTGTATATATTAAGATGTAATAAAAGTTATTTAAATGAGCTAATTTGAATGACAACAAAAAAGCCACTCGGAGTGGCTTTTTACTGTATATATTAAGATGTAATAAAAGTTATTTAAATGAGCTAATTTGAATGACAACGAAAAAGCCACTCGGAGTGGCTTTTTACTGTATATATTAAGATGTAATAAAAGTTATTTAAATGAGCTAATTTGAATGACAACAAAAAAGCCACTCGGAGTGGCTTTTTACTGTATATATTAAGATGTAATAAAAGTTATTTAAATGAGCTAATTTGAATGACAACGAAAAAGCCACTCCGAGTGGCTTTTTACTGTATAAATTATAATATATGAATATCAAATAAAGAGAACGTATGAATGATAGTTTTATCGAGTCCAAGTTCAATTATAATAAAAGAAATCAACAGAGGGCGCCATTCATTGGTGGTGAGGTATTATAAACAGAGGGCGGTATTTAATTTTATGATAAGGAGTTCATGTACCGATAAAAAACAGAGG